TCCCTCCCTCCCTCCCTCCCTCCCTCCCTCCCTCCCTCCCTCCCTCCTAAATAAAGGTTGAATGAGTGAGGTACTACAACACCAAATTTCGACTTAAGGTAATACAGTAGTCCCTCGCTACTTTGCGGTTCGACATTTGTGGACTCGCTCTTTCGTGGTTTTGCAACAATTGTCAAGTAAAAAAACAACTACCTTTGGACAGGGGCCGCCATTTTGTAATTTTCTTTAAAAAAGCCTATACTGTAAGGCCAGTAAAAAAGAAAACACTACCCAGAAGCCAACAGTGCTTCCAGCTGCTGCTTTATGCCAAAATTGAGGAAAAGTTTTGCAAAGTAAATCTATGCTATCTATTAAGCTTACAGAACTGGCAGGAAAGTTACAAACAATCCTGAAGCTCAATTATCCACACATCAACTTGGACAGGGCAATGGGCTTCATCGCTGCAGGGTAGGTCTGAAGAACTGGTACCGAGCCCAACAGTACATATACGTATGCTGTTAAAATTACATAGGTTTAAGAGTTTAAAACATTGCAAGAATGTGGGAAGGGTTTATAAAGCTTTTATATATAAATACTAAAATAAATATAGCGTTTATAATTTGCAGTTTTTCCGCCTATCCCAGGGGTGTTTGGATTATAACCCCTGCAATAATCAAGGGACTACTGTAAATGTAAAATCGACCAAGTTATAGCCATTTTCATGTCACAGATGAGTCATCCTCCAGCAACTGCTCATTCTCTCCACTAGTGTGTTGCTATTGGTTTGTAAGAGAGCTCTTTTGTTTCGTTTCCAAGGATGGAGTACCAAAAAAGTTTTGGTATCCTGGACAAACAATGAGGCAAGTGTATTCCTCTGTCTTCTTTTTCTTTAGGCTATTCTCTCTTAAGGGGTCTCCACAGCGAGTCATCCTCCTCCATCTCACTCTGTCCTCTGCATCCTCTGTCCTCACTCCAGCTACATCCATGTCCTCTCTAACTGCATCCATATATCTCTTCTTTGGCCTTCCTCTTTGTCTTTTTCCAGGCAGCTGCATTTCAACCATACCATACCATACCATACCGCTTTATTTATAGAGCACTTAAAACAGCAACAAGGACAACCAAAGTGTTGTACAGCAGAAACAAACAAGCAAAGCACACAGCAAAACATAAAGTAAAATAAAATATAGATATGAATAGCAGAAGATAACTAAATGGCTAGCATTGTAGAATACAGACAGGCGCAGAACTGATCAACGATTTGAATACATACAGGAGTATTCTGAACTGAATTCGAAGGTGAATTGGGAGCCAGTGCAGGGAGGCCAAAACTGGTGTAATGTGCTCTCTTTGGCTTGTACCAGTTAAAAATCGGGCTGCAGGATTTTGGATCAGTTGTAGTCGTGCAATGGAGATCTGACTGATTCCAAACAGAAAAGCATTGCAGTAATCAAGCCTAGATTTTATGAACACGTGTATTACTGTCTCAAGGTTATTTTTGGACAGTTCTTACATCCTTCTACCAATATACCCACTGTCCCTCCTGTGGACATGTCCAAACCACTGTCCTTCCTCTGGACATTCATGCAACCTTTATTTAGACAGGTAAATCCCATTGAGCCTCGAGGACTCATTTACGAGAGACACCTAATTTCAACAAAGAATGATGACAACAATGGACAACAGCGACAACAATAAACAGTTATAAAATTATTATTATTATTTTTTTTTTTTACAAATAGGATGGCTAAAAAAAGAAAAGTAACAAAAAACAGCTAGATTCTAAGGCGACTGCAGAAAACTAAAATCAGGAACATGTCTGCATTGGTCCCTGCCAGGAGTCCAACAGATTCTTAAAGCCACTTAGAGAGGTCAAAGGTCGAGAGCTTCAGATCTTTTTACAAGATATTCCAGGAAACAGTAGCAGAGTAGGAGAAGGCCCTTTTGCCAAGTTCAATCCGCACTGAGGGAACACTGCAGGTAATAATGTCCTGAGAGCGCACGCTGTAACTGCACTTACGCAGAGACATGTAGGAGGAGATGTATGAAGGCAGCAGACCAAGGAGTGATTTAAAGATGAAAATGTACCAGTGGGAGAGTCTGTGTGAAGTTAATGATGTCCATTCAAAAAGCGTTCAATATAAAAACTGGACTTTATTTGTAACAGAAGACATTTCGCTCCTCATCCGAGGAGCTTTCTCAATTCAAAGAGCAGAGAGTAAGGGATTCAGGTTATAAGGCTGAGTGAGGTAAGACACACACACACATAAGACACACACATATGTAGATTGGCAGCTCTTCAAACATGTGGATATCCTAACTGGGCTTTTGTCAAGTTAGTGAGGAAATCTACAAAACACACTAATAAACAGAAAAAGGAGAACAAGAGACGGAAAAACATTGTCATCCCTTATGTTGCTGGAGTATCAGAGAAATTCAGAAAGATCTTCAACAAACACAATATCCCAGTACATTTCAAGCCAGCAGGAGTCCCAGCAGGACTCTCAGACAAAGGCTGGTCCACCCTAAGGACAAAACACCCATACACAGAGTGGTGTAGTGTATGCGGTCCGGTGCAGCGAGGACTGTCCAGACCTCTACACTGGAGAAACTAAACAGCCTCTTCACAGATGCATGGCTCAACACAGGAGAGCTACTTCCTCAGGAGAAGACTCAGCTGTTCACCTCCACCTCACAGATAAGGGACAATCTTTTGAGGACCAAAATGTGCACATTTTGGACCGAGAACACAGATGGTTTGAGAGGGGGGTGAAGGAAGCAATTTATGTAAAAAGAGAAAAGCCGTCTCTTAACAGAGGAGGAGGCCTCAGATTTCCACTTTCAAAAACATATAATGCAACTTTAAAACAAATTCCCAGACGGTTTTCACACTTGAAACAGAGGGGCCTCGTCGGTGAATTAGACGAACAAAGACCTACTGTTAAGGTGTTTAGGTGTGAACTGCCAATCTACATATGTGTGTGTGTGTCTTATGTGTGTGCGTCTTATCTCACTCAGCCTTATAACCTGAATCCCTTACGTACTGCTCTTTGAATTGAGAAAGCTCCTTGGATGAGGAGCGAAACGTCTTCTGTTACAAATAAAGTCCAGTTGTTTTTGTATTCAATGCTTTTTGAATTCACCATGTCCTGGATGACTGAGAATCTTCACCAGCTTAATGATGTCCAGTTAACCAGTGAATACTGGGTGCAGTGGTGGGTACAATAGTTACAGCCAGTTATGAATCTTAGTGCACCACGATAGACAGCATCCAACATCTGCAGCATCCAACATCTGCAGGGTTCTTGTAGGAGCGTTCAGAATCAGAATCAGAATGCCTTTGTCATTATACGTAGTACAATGAAATTAAGAGCCACTCCTTTTTCCAGTGCAAAAACACGCCTTAAGAAAACGCACATTAAACACTAAACACACACTAAAAATTAAAAAATGTAACGCAATATAGATATAATAATGAAAGTAAAAAATACAAGTATTACACAATTGTATTGCATATCATGGATATTAGTGAGGTAGTTAAGGTGACAGAGTATGAAATGGCAGTAGTATTGCACAGTAGAAGTCCAGGGGGTTGGGAGGTTAGGATATTAAATCAGTGCATGTGTGAGTTCAGTGTAGTGATGGCTTTCGGGAAAAAACTGTTCTTGAATCTGTTTGTTCGTGTTCTGATGCACCTGTAGCGCTTCCCTGAAGGTAACAAGTCAAACAGTTCAAAACTCGGGTGTGAACAGTCCTTGATTATATCCTGATGCATGCTCAATAATCCAGGTAGAAAAATCCAAAAAAGTTCAATCTGGTCCTCTGGACATTCAAAAAAACAAAAGCAAAACAAAGCAAACCTTTGCTTTGTTTTGCTTTTGTTTTTTTGAATGTCCAGAGGACCAGATTGAACTTTTTTGGAGTCCTTGATTATGCTTTCTGCTCTGTTGAGGCAGCGTGATGTGTAAATGTCCATCAGGGAGAGGAGAGGGCAGCCAATTATCTTCTGTGCCGTCTTGACTACTCTCTGAAGCCTCTCCCTGTCAGCCAGGGTGCAGCTGCCGTACCATACTGAGATACAGTATGTCAGCAGGCTCTCGATGGATGAGCGGTAGAAGGTCAGCAGCAATTTTGTGTTCAGGTTGTGCTTCTTAAGGACTCTTAAGAAGTGTAGTCTCTGCTGAGCCTTCTTGATGACCGCTGTGGTGTTCTCTTTCCAGTTTAGGTCAGCAGAGATATGGACACCAAGACATCTGAAAGTGTGAACCCTCTCCACGCACTCACCATTG